TTAGCCAACCAGCCCATTAGCCAACCAGCCCATTAGCTAACCAGCCCATTAGCTAACCAACCCATTAGCCAACCAGCCCGTTAGCTAACCAGCCCATTAGCCAACCAGCCCATTAGCTAACCAGCCCATTAGCCAACCAGCCCATTAGCCAACCAGCCCATTAGCTAACCAACCCATTAGCTAACCAGCCCGTTAGCTAACCAACCAATTAGCCAACCAGCCTGTTAACCAACCAACCCATTAGCCAACCAGCCAATTAGCTAACCAACCCATTAGCCAACCAGCCCGTTAGCTAATAAACCCATTAGTCAACCAGCCCATTAGCGAACCAGCCCGTTAGCTAATAAACCCATTAGCCAACCAGCCCATTAACGAACCAGCCCGTTAGCTAATAAACCCATTAGCCAACCAGCCCATTAGCGAACCAGCCCATTAGCTAACCAACCCATTAGCCAACCAACCCATTAGCGAACCAGCCCATTAGCTAACCAACCAGCCCATTAGCCAACCAGCCCGTTAGCTAATAAACCAGGGGTCCCCAAACTACGGCCCGCCTCCACATTTGGTCCGGCCTCCTGAACAATACCAGAGAGCATTCAGATTTTTTTTTTCATTTATTGTATTTTCCGGTTTATATGTGGACAGACACGTGTCTGTTATGAACGCCGCAATCCAGGTTGAATTCTTCGAACCGATGCCTGTAAGTAGCAGCTTATATTTCAAAACGAGCCTTTATGTTAACATATGAGAAATTAATATGTTATAGTTACATTCCCTCAATGGAATATATACTAGTCAGTCCCAGTCACTGTTTAAACATGGTTTTGGCCCAAGTGCTTTCTGGGTAAAAATCAATCGAGAAACGTCCCCCTTCCTCCCCCCCGTCAACAATCTCCGGCCCCCCACCAGAGAAGGGAAGAGTTATGTGGCCCTCACAGGAAAAAGTTTGGGGACTAATAAACCCATTAGCCAACCAACCCATTAGCCAACCAGCCCATTAGCTAACCAGCCCACCAGCTAATAAACCCATTAGCTAACCAACCCATTAGCAGATTAGCCTGTTAGCTAAATCACCCTGCTAGCCAATTAGCTCTTAGTTAATCAACCTGTTAGCCAGAACGCTAACTGGTTCCATCTGGACCAGCACTGGTCTCCTGGGTGTCTGGCTCCATGCTCCTTGCAGCAGAATAATCCAGAATTTTCTACCAACTCTTTTAAATCTGACAGCTAATCAGTCCCACAGCATGATGCTGCCTCCACCAGCTGTTGTTAATATTTGACTTTATTTGTTGTTTTTCTTTCTTTCTGTCTTTTATTATTTGTTTTATTTTATTACTTTAATTTTGTTAGCTGTTGTTGTTTATAAATAAATGTGACCTTTGACCCCGGGGTCAGATGAACTGGGTAAAGTTAGTTTGTAGCTGAGGTTTTCCTCCAGGCTGATTCCGGGTCGGGTCCCGCCTCCGCCCCGGTCCGGCTGGGAATAGGACCGGCCGTGTTCTGCTGGAAACGCTCCGCTAATGAAATGATGATGATGATGATGATGATGATGATGAGGATGAGGGCGAGCCTTCCCGGTAACCCGGCAACGGGATGGACGCTCCGCTTCCCGGAAAGGATGAAGGTGACGTCATCAGCTGCTGCAGGGAACGAGGCTGAGGAAGAGGAGGGGCGGCCTTCACTGAAGATGGAATATTAAGGAGCAGGAAGAAAACGTTAGTTTATAAAATAAAAGATCAAATTTTATTAAAATAATTTTTAAGGAAACAATTATTTTCTCTAGATTTAACTCCTTATGTCTAAAAATATTAAAACAGATTTACACAGAGGAAATAAAAAGATATTTAGATAAAATAAGCAAATAAAAATATGATTGTCATCAAATAAACATTTACAATCTGTGATATAACAAATTACATTAAATATAAATTAGTTTTTATCATAAATCTTTATAAATAAATGTGAAAACAATGCTGTCAAAATATAAGAATATCATCTGTTGGAAAATTTGTTTTGAATTATTCATTTATTTATTATTTAGAATCTGCTTAATAAAGTTATGATTCGAGTGTATAAAATTTTATTTTATCCACATTCATGCATTTCTGTAAAAGATATAATTTTTTTAGAAATCCTTCATGTTTCATTTTTCAGTACATTAATACAGACAGAAAATACAAATATTAGTAATATTTTTTAAAATTATTTATTATTTCAGTCAAGATTAAAATCAGACAGAACATCTTGAGAAAAATGAATATGTTCAAACTGTGAACTTTATTTTCTACTGGAAATGTACAATAATGTTGGTGTATTGTTGATATATTAATGGCTCCAGTTGAGTTAGTTTTTATTGATTTTCATCATACCGCTAAATTAGTTTACTTTTATATAAATTCAACATTTTAGAGTTTGTAAATATTATTTATTTTTAGTATAATTTAATACAACCCCATTATTGTGATAATAATAAAGCTTACAACGTGTAAAAATTCGATATTTTATTTATTATTTATGTATTTTAATGTTGTTTTTATATTTATTCTTCATAAAAGCTCTTATTTATGATTTTCAGGTGACCTGAAAGAGATTTTATTATTCCTGCTGCTCGGTGACGTCATCCTTTCCGGGAAGCTGCAGCTCCTCCTGTTGTTGTTGTTTTTCTCCTTCATCCCGGGAATCCGGGAAATCCCCTCTTCCTCCTCCCTCCTCTCCTCGGGTTCCTCTCGCGAAACGCGCTCGCAGCTTACGGAAGCCGGGTGGGATTTCACTCGCAGTTTCGGTCTGAGTGATTCGGCGGGTTCCGGTAAAAATCCGTCTGTGCCGCTGGACGGAAGCGGCCCGACCGTAAGTCAGAGGATCGATATCAGCTTCCAGAAAACTGACCAGGCCAGAGCAGCTTCTGCTGAGTCAGCGCTGGTTCCTTTCAGCCTGCAAAAACATGCAGCATTATTTCATAAATGTTCTGAACTAGCAACAAAGCAAAAGGTGAAATTTTCCACATAAATCTGGTTCCGGTTCTGGTTCTGACCTCTGTAGTGAAAAACGGAAACAATAAAAGCTGATAGTCGGTTTATGATGAGATATTTCCGTCATAAGCTGCGTTTTTATTGACCAAATAAATTCACTTAATGGAGACACGAAATTTAGAAAAAACTAGTTTTTTGCTAAAATGTTTTTAGCTAGCTTGAGGTGGTTTCCGTTTTTTCTGAAAGAGCTAAAGCGCTAAAGGAGAGACAGAAACTGATTAGCAGAAAGATCTGGCGTAGCGAACGCTGCCATCTACTGCTGGGTCTGTACCTTACCAGACAAAAACTGGTCCATGCTAGTTAGCAACCTCTACTTCCTGTTTCCAGCCTCTGCTTCCTGTTTCCAGCTTCTACTTCCTGTTCAGTAAAGCCATGGATAACGTCAACATGCTATGAAGTTACACATAGCATAGCTTGGCTCTGAACTAGCAGAAGGAAACGCACATAATTCACATTTTCTTTTTTGTGACATTTTTAAAGTTAATCTGAGATCTGGGTGGAAACGTAGCTGCAGAGTTTAGCTGTGTCTGTTTTATAGCAAAAACATGATGAAGCTTTTAACATTTATTTGTTCCATCAACAGTTCATCCAACCTTTCCACCTTTTGTTTTTGTATTTCCTGTCTCTGGTCCGACCTCCATATTAACGTCCTCCATGTTTCTGCGGCTCCTCCTGGTTAAACCAGCTGTTCCTCTCCACTGCTGCCTCATGCTTGCTTCACATGAACATGATGCGATTTGAAGTGCAGCGTCGGGTCATGTGACTCGCGCTCAGGTGGTTCTGATTCATCCTGGAGTCTCGGCTCAGCGATGACTCAGAGGTAACTAGAGGTCAAAGCCCATCACATGACGCTGCTTGACCTTTCACCCCATGACTCTGAGGAAACGGTTAGCATGATGGTGTTCCTGAATTCATCTCAATATGATGCAAATATGTTATAAGTTCTTATTACTGAGCTTTTGGGGTTTTATTTTTCATGTTCATGTTTGATGCTCATGTCTTATTATTTCAATCCTTTTTATTTTTGGATTATTTGGGACTTTATTGACTTTTATAGTTAAATAACAACAAACTAAGTTTATTTTGTTATATATTCTATTTTTTAACTTTTTTCTTTATTTTTTTAGTGTTGTTGCAGTTACTAGTTACACATTAATATTTAATTTTTTCTGACCTTTTTTGTATTTTCTGTCATTGTTCCCATCTTGTTTTTTTTACTTCTTCCTGTTTTTTGTCGTTAGTTTTTTTTATTTCCTGTTTAATTAAATGTTGACGTGTTTTTATGAAAATCTTATTTTAGGTTTTGCTTTTATTCTGAATGTTGGGACCTAGCGGCGGATTCTCTCACCTGGGGGACGTTTCCCTCTGAGGTCCAGCTGGTTCTCCTGCTGACCTCATCAGGTGCTTCCGGTGAAAATCCCCGCTGATGGTGAATAAAGTGAACTGGGTCAAAGGTTCAGTCTGCAGGAGAACAATAAATACTTCGTCACCATTTCTCACGTGTGCTGCCCCGACTGGTCCGACTGTTTGAGTTTTCCTCTGGAAACAAACACATGGCGGTTCAGAACCAAGGAGCAAACGCTGAAAGGTCAAAGCTGACCGGCGATGTCGGAAACATCTGATGTGACATGAAGTTCATCCAAGTCATTTCATGCCAATAACTGGTTTAAAAAGCTCAGAAATGGCAGCCATCTTGAAAGTGGCTAATGGGAAACACATGCAACCTGAGGGGTTAGCATGCTAATGTTTCTGTGTTTTATGCTGCACTGGAACAGGAAGTGATTTTAACCAGAGTGAGTTTGATGTCCTGAAGAACCGTCGCCATCTTGGATGATCCGACTGTTTGTTTGGCAGAAACATGTGTTTGTGTGTCAGAGTTCAGGCTGATGAGCTAACTGCAGGCTGTGTGACGGAAACAATCAGAGGTCAGAGGTCAGGGAACAAAGATTGCTTGTGTTTGAGTTCTGATGATGCAACATTAGCTCAGTTGCTAACATCCTTTCCACAGTCAGTTTATGATCTAGAGCAGATGTTCCTCCATGAGTTCATGTACTCTGCTAAGTGGAAAATTGCAGACATTTTTCCTTAAGCAGCTTCCTCAAACTGACAGGTCAAAGGTTGAAATGATGTGACTCTATCAGCTGTTTTCCATCTAAGCTGTCATCTGTGTTGCAATAAATAGTTTATGCAGCAGTAGTCAGAATATTTGGCTAAAATGTGCTGATCATTAAAATATTCACAACTTGATAAAATAGAGATTATTAATGTTTTGGGTTAGTTGACAAAAAACTTTTCCTGTCATGAAGTGGCTCTGCGATGGATTTGGAAGGATTTATGGATTCATGGTAATAAACTTCTTCCCCATCCTCAGCTTGTCCTGGAGTCAAAGCCAGTGGTTTAAACACTTCTGCTAATCTGCTAATAGCAGAGCTAATTATTTGCATAGCATTTTTGCTAACTTTGAAAATGTTTTACACACTTAGCTTACTATAAATTATTTTTCCAGCTCAGCTTTGAGGCATACTTATGCTAATATGCTGCTAATGCACCAATAGCATTTCTTGTTTACTGGTTTTGCTAACTTTGAAACTCAAAAAAGTTTCGCGCATTTAGCTTCCTCTATATCACCCAGTCATGTACTTGGCTCTTTTGTAAAATTTCAGTTGAATAAAGTTTGAAATCTGTGTCGAAGTTTTGTTGCGATTTCTCAAAGTGGTTACATTCATGCTCTTATTTTGAAGTGGGTGAAGACGACTTACGGAGACGTTCTGCTTCCTGTTTTCAAGAAACTTCATTGAACAAGTGCAAAGCATACAACAAACTAATGTGGTGAAGAAGAATAAAACAGACCCGTGTGTCTCCTCAGCCCCCTGCTGTGCATGTTTTAGATGAGCCTCTATTCCAGAACAGCTGATCAAATGATTGCAGGACCATCAGGTGCTGCAGATCCTGTTAATCACCCAGAGATACAATCCAGGTGGCAGAAGGGAAACACCTGAAACATGCAGGACAGGAGGGCCTGAGGACCAGGGTGGAGAAACACTGGTTTAGATGAACAAATGAACAGAAGGGTTAATAATATGAAAATGATTCTGAGCTCAGTCTGACGCGGCTCCTGCTCCGCTGAACCAGTTTTGTCCTGAAAGCTCATGAAGGTTTCATGCTGTCCGTCTGCAGGCCTCTCAGCGCGTTGAGCAGTAAAATCAGACCAGCTCCAACGGTCCTTCCTCTTCCCAAGCTGCAGCGATGGGGAAACTTTCACAGGTAAAATTTAACGACCTGGATCCTCGCCAGGTGTTTTTAACCTGATCATGTGTTTCCTTGTCTGAGCTGAGCATTAAAAATCAGCTTTTACTTTTAATATTTCACAGCCCTGAGTGTTTCCTTCCTGGATGATGTCCAGCTGCTCTGGACATCATCCAGGTTTCCTTCAGCTGACCGGAGCGACCAGAGAAACCGTCTTTCATGTGTCACCTCCCAGGGGAAAGTCTAAACCGGTTGTGTCCAGGATGTGTGGGGTCTGCAGAAATGCTAGCTGCCCTTTTCCTGACCCTTGACCTGTTCAGGTCCGGCATGGAGGGACGGTCAGCCATTTCTGCAGCCGTCAGGCGAACTCTATCAAATCAACACGTTTGGTGTTTCAAACTGAAACCGGAAATTATTCTCAGAAAATTCAGATTTAAAATAAAATCCTTCAGCATCAGGTTTTCTAACAGTTTGTGTCATATTTGATACATCAGGATATTGGAAGCGTGCTTTCTTTGTTATCAAAAATGTAAAAAAAATTATTTGTTTTTGATTTTGAAAATCAGTTTTTAACCCAGAACCATCTGGATCGTCAGCGTTCCCCAGTCAGATAAAACTGATTTAAATCAGATTAAATGTTTTTTAATTCAACTTAAAAAAATTCTTCACAAAAAATAAAAAACTAGCATCCGTAAAGTAACATTTCCACAGCGGAAAATCGCATCAATCTGGAAAACCCAGGAAATCTCCAGTTGATCTGACTGAGCTTCAAGCTGTTTCTGATTTTAGGGCCTAAACAAAACCCTGAGAGTTTCCTGCTGATTCAGCACATTTTTTGAGGCTTGAGAATGAAGACGAGCCGGTTTTCCATCCAGCTGTGGAGACGCAAAGCGCTGACGGCTTCAGTCTGATCTATTTTTACAGGCTGATGTCACGGCAGGTGAAGCTCTCACCTGCCGGCCGGTCCCTCCCTGCTGGATCAGGAAACTTTCTGGGAGTTTTTGGAACCAAAAAAAAACTAGAACAAGTTATTTTTAGAATAATTAACCTATTTACAGACATGACTGATGCTTTTCACCTGACGAGCTGAGATCATGGTTGGTTTGTAGGAGTGAAACAGGAGGATCATAATTATTTCACCCAGATCCATGAAGTGAAGATGATGATGAAGACGAGAAGTTTGGTCGTTTCATTTCACAGCAACAGATTAATGTGGGAGGAACAATCTAGAGTTATAGATCTAGAGTTATAGATCTAGAGTTATAGATCTAGGGTTATAGATCTAGAGTTATAGATCTAGAGTTATAGATCTAGGGTTATAGATCTAGGGTTATAGATCTAGAGTTATAGATCTAGAGTTATAGATCTAGGGTTATAGATCTAGAGTCGGCTAGAAACCAGAGGTCAGACTGATTCTGAGTTTGAACCTTCAGAGTCACATAAAGACATAACAAAGTCGGCCTTCTGTCACTTGAGGGACATTTAGGAATACAGGAAGGACCTGCTGCTGTTGTTTCATTCAGGTCTTCATTATCATTGATATTATTATCATTACTACAATAACAATTATAAGAATGATAATTGTTTTCCTGCCTGTCTGTAATCCGGACTCCATGCATCCAGATTTTCCCTGCAGGTTCTGATCCCGGTTCTGCTGCTGTGACCAGAACCAGTTCCGGATGTTTGGTCCAGTTTCCTGACGTGCAGAAACCTCTGGTTTGTTTTCTCCCAGATTTCTGCCTGCAGCTCCAGGCTGACTCACCCGTTCATTATTAACTGTGTAAGAAAACCCTCCGGTCGGGTTCTGACCTCCTTTCCTCGCTCCGCCGGCCAACTCCTCCCGTGTTTATGTTTACCAGGCTGTCGCTACGGCGACGACACGGTCGTGCCCTTGCCGTCGTCTTCCCACCCTGGCGCCCAGACAGGAGGCACCCATGTCATCTGCAGGATTTCTGCTGCTGTTTTCATCCAGTTTTGTTCTCTGCTGCTAAATGAGGCGCAGCTGAGACTAAAATTAGAAACTTTATTCACATCAGTTCATTAAAAATCTGCAGACTGAACATCTGACTGATGTCCAGGATTTTACCAGTGAAACTTTTCTGGTCCAGTTCCACTTTGAAAAGAATAATATTCAGGAACTGAACTAAAATATCCAAATCTAACTAATATAAATACATTTTAATGAATTAGTTCTTAATCCAAGCTGGATTTACACCACTTGTTTTAGTTTCCACAACTAAACAGAGTTTTATTTATTTCCTGATATCCAGGGCTATGATAGTTTTTGGCTTTTCTTTATAGTTTAGTTTTACTTTGTTTGTGTTATTCAGTTAGTTTTAAGTAGTTTTAACGTGTTTTAATTAGGTAGTAAATATTATTAAGTGTTTATTTGTAGTAATAGTTTTAGTTTTTTCATACTTTGGTTCATTTTTAGGTGCAGAATGTAAAAAGATTAAATGGTTATATTGTGTTTATGTTTTATTGGAGAATGATGGCATTTTTTCCCAACTTCCTCTGCCGCCATTTTGTTGTCCGGCCACCAGGAGGCGTATGAAGTGCCGTAATTTGCTGACTGCTGACGTAAACTGGTTGTGTGGTAAAAAATAAATCATTTCATATCAGTTCAGAAGTCTAATGAGTAGAATAATAAACACGAAATCATATCTATAATTTAAGTTTGATTTAAAGAGTTCTATAAAAGGACAATATAGTTCCTATTAGTTTTCCCCATTAATTTTCTGAATCTCCTAGCTAGCAACCTGGGCTAGCTATCTGGCTCAGTTTGTGGGATTTTGAAGGGAAACTTTGCATTAAGTTCACAGAGAGACCAACAAAGAGAAAAACATTTGGACTTCTGGAAAGTCTCATGGTTAGCGCTGAAATGCTACATGGAAGGTAGCCGCTAACTACTTTAATGCTAACTAGATTGTTTTGTTGAACGCAGCATCAATCCCTCATCCTAAGAAAGCATGTGGTGACTGCGGAAAGGAACAGTTTCCTTTTAACAGGGGTGATGAAGGAGCAGACCCAGCAGAAACTGCAGCGACCTCTAGAGGCTCATTCAAACTCAAAAATACTTTATTAATCCCAAAAGGGAAATCAAATGTCATTGTAGCTCATCAAGACCCTTCAAAGAGCCATTGAAGATGGTGATGGGTGTTGGCAGGAAAGATCTCCTGCAGCAGTCTGTACCACCCTGAACCTGAAGAAGCCTCTGACTGAAGATGCTCCACCTTCCCAGATTTCTGATTCATTTGATTTAATTAATTTTTTGTGTTTTCTTTAAAATTCAACATGGATCCAACATGTAACAAACTGATGAAGCGAGGCATAAAATTTGAAATTAAGACATCCTAATTTTAACATAAAATCTGTTTATACAGTGACTTTGTTGGCCTTTCAAAATAAAGCTCAAAGTTTGGTTCAGTTTTTCAGAGGGACTTTCCAGATGCCAAGCGAGTCTCTAGGCTGGAAAACTTTACAAATGTGCTTTTATTGATGGAAGTAATATATTTTAAACGATATTCTGGTGGGACGACAACATTAAAAACAGCAAAGTTACAGTAAATAAGTAGGAAACAGTTGGTGTTTGAATGAGAAGCTCAGGCTGGGATCCCCCTCCTCGCTGAGGTCTCGTCTTTCGGAGCGTCGCGTCATCGTCAGCGCTGCTATCTTCGGCTCATGTGTAAACCGGGCCGCTCACCCACGCTCTATTTTAGACCAGAACCAGCATCCATCTTTATTTATCCTCATCATGGTGCTGGTTTGGTATGAATGAGGTGGGAGGCATGTTACTACATCACTGCCATGCTGGGAATGCAGGAGCCGGGCGGCAGCTGCTGGCAGCGTCTGTAAAGTTACACAGTCACAAATTAACAGCAATAACCTGGATTATTTAGGAACCATGGGGGTTTTCCACCATGTTTTTCATTTATAAATGTCACAGTTTCAAATTATATATTCAGTTAACACGCTAAATATTTAGATAATATGCAAATGCACTGGCTGATAACCAAAATAAAAGCTGGATTTTCTTTATCATCGTTTATTTTCCTCTTTTCTTCAACAACAAAGGATGAGCCTTTATCAGTTCAGCCTCAATCCAGCTTTTATTTTGATAGTCCATTTATGGGTAAGTGAATTTCAGAATATTTAGCTCTGACATAGCTAATTATGTAGTTAGTAAAAAACTAGCTAAATAATTTATTGCTCAACCCAAATGCAGATTTTGGGTTGATGCTAAATATTTAGTTTAGAAACTAAAGTTTGTTTAGAAACTAAATATGTAGCTCTGACGTAGCTAAATATTTAGTTCAAACCAAATTGCCAACTAATCATCTAGTTTGGAGCTAAGCAATTAGCTTGCTCACTGAATGTTTATGGAACTAAATGTTTAGCTTGTTAAGTAAATACTTAGGTTGGAGCTAATTACTTAGTTTCTGAACTAAATATTTGGATAGTAAGCTAATATATAGCTTCAAAATTATTATAAAGATAGCTAAGTAAATGTTTTGTTTGAAGCTAAGTAGTTAACTTTCTCAGAAAATATTTAGATTCTAAGCTAAATGTTTAGCTTCAACATAAATATTTAGTTTGCTAACTAGGTGAAATTTTACTAAATATATAGAAATATTTAGCTTGAAACTAAATATATCGTTTGATAGCTAAATATCCAGTATGAAACTTTGATATTATAACACGGTGAAAAATTAACATATTTTTTCTTCTTACGACAGGCTAAATAACTCCACTGTGTTACTTTAAGCGTCCCTCTGGGGTTAAAGGTCAACCTCAGTCCAGCTGTGTCTCCTACGCCAGCGGCGGCCATGTTGTCTGTTTACTCTCTGCTCGCCGTGACTCAGCTCCGCCTGAGCTCTCGGTTTTCCCAGCCGTGTTTTTCTCCAGGTTTCCTCCTTCCGGTTCGGCTGCGGGTCACGTGGCCGGCCGCCTGACGGCTGGCGGCTCGTTTCGTCACGTCGGTCCGTCCCTGATGGAAACGTGAGCGGCAGGTTTTGCTCTGTCACCGGGAAACTTCAGCTGTCATGATGTAATCTGGGGTTTTTAGGGTTAATCTGTAGTTCCGTTGTTCGTTTCAGACACAACACTGTGCATAAGTCTTCAACCAGGCTCAGATTTGTGCAAGAAGCAACAACAGTGGGGAAAATGTTCTGGGTTGACTGAAACAGAAAAAGCTCCAGAGATGATGGATGAAAATGTCAGGAAACTAAACCCGGGATGACTCGGGACTTTTGCACAGATATGATGCAAGATCAGCTCAGCTTCATGAAACTCATCATCACTAATGGAAAGTTTTACAGCAGCTGCAGTTCGTACTTTTACATGCATATTTATATTTAATTGGTTTAAATTAATTTAACTTTTACTCTTATTTATGTTATATTCATATTTCCAGATAAAACAATGTACAACATTCAGTCAGATAATGTTCATAAAACGAGTTATTTTTGGATGGTAAAACCTGATTTTATGTGTTTTATTCATGTTTTTCCATCTAACTGGATTATGTTGGTTTATTTATTACATATTAATGTAATCCTCTGTTTTCATTTTATGCTTCACCGGTTTCTTGGTTGTTTTAAAGTTGTCCATAGATATATTCTGTATTCATAACTTTTATTTTTAAATTAACTCCTTAACCACTCTGTTCTAGGAAAAAATATTTGTTTTGTGTGTCATTATCAGTTTAGAGAAATTGGCAACACTATTGATTCTGATTTATTCTTGTTTTTGTGATAAAAGTTGTGAAAACATGATGTTGGATTCTTTCATGTTCAAACTGATAGTTCAGGACTCATGAAATTTCATCACAATAAATTAATAAATAACAATGGAACTCAAACAGTTTAACATATTAAATAATGTGAGTAAAATTGAAGTCAGTAGAACAAAATTCAGTAAAAGGACAAGACTGGACAAAACAAAAATATAAATCTGTTCTAATTTATATATTTGGTTAAATTGACATGGAAAATTAAAAAACAAATGTTAGTGAAATTTTGATTAATTTAGGTAATCCTGTGTTACCACGTCACAGCAGCAGGGGGCGACCTTCAGCCCTTCGTCAAAATTAAACTGATTTCATGTTTAGCCATGATGGAGGGTCAGACTCATCAGCTGCATCCATCTGGGCCAATGGGAGAGCTCGGGGGAGATGACATCATCACCTCTGATCAGCAGTGAGGTCATGGTGATGACCTCAGCCTTCATCACCATGAATCCCGAATGAGCCTTCGCCCTTTCCGTCCAATCAGCTGCGGCCTGGACTATCAGCTAATGAGGCCAGACGGTCCGCAGCCAATCAGAGTCCAGCACACTACGAGATCAATAATTCAGACACAAACACTGACGGATCAGAACCGGCGGGTCCGGAAGCGATGAGGCGGCAGAGAGAGGAGAGAAAATGGAGGAGCGGAGCGTGGAGGGAAATCAGAGCTGATGTCACTGCCGGCAGCGGTGAGTCAATCAGGTCCCACCGACGGCCCGCCATGTTGTTCACTAACATGTCACATCTTAAAGCTAAATATTTAATTAGCAAGCTAAATATTTAGCTAATATGAAATCACTTACAGATAACCAGATGTGGACTATCAAAATAAAAGCTTGGTCTTCGTTATTGTCGGTTCCGTTCCTTTTTCATCGAACGACATTTAAGCTTAAAACAAATAAGACATTCTAAAGGCAACCCAGACGGTTAGCAACGGATCTACGGCAACAGAGACGCATCATAGTTGAACTATTCAGTTTACCCAGCTTGTATTTTGGTAGTTTACTTCCTCTTTATCGGCACTTGAATTAGCATATCAGCTAAATATTTTTCGCCAGCTCGGAAAAATTCATTTTGAATCTAAACAGTTAGCTTGCTCACTTAATCGTCATGGAGATTAAAACCTGGCAGAATATTTACCTTCAAACTGTGTGCTAACTGCTAGCTGAGTGTTTAGCTTGTCTCTAAACATTCAGGTTGAAAAGCCCCTCCAAACCGACCGGCTCTGGGTGAAAAGGTAATCACTCCCAACCTTCCTTCAGCTGCTAACTGGTGAACAGTCTTAACNCATTCCAATGGACAATGTTTTTATCTTATTTTGTACTTATTTTCAAGTATATTATGTGTTTATTGTCGTTAGTGTCAAACAGACCAAGTAACGGGGAGGTTCCGGTTCGGGCTTTTTGCTTCCGAACCATGAGGGAACACAACAAACCCCATAACTTCACCGCAGAGCAGCTCTGGAGTCAGAGTTCGAGTTCAGCTGGCTGTTCGGGTTCAAAGTTGTTGTGCTACCGTGTTCCTTAAGGTCTCCGTGTTATGTAGTTTATTACCTTTGCCTGCTTCTTGTTCAGAGCTCAGATAGGACGGTGTTTACAGCGGTGTGTTCAGGCGGATCAGTGGCTCTGCTCTCTGGTTCCCATAAACTCTTTCAGGCTGAATACAGAAGTGACTCCATGGAAATAACTCAGGAGGCTCCTTTATTCACCATCCGTCTCCCCAGGTAGTTTTAGGCTGATCCGGAGTGAAGTGAAGGCTGCAAACTTTGCTGTGCAGCGTTAGCTTTAACTGGTAGCGACGGATATTTACAAGCCACCATCTTCTTAATTCAGGATCGCTTGGAAATCCATGAAAACTTAAAAGCCCATTATATTAAGAGACAACAACGTTCATAGTATTGCTTTTGTTGCGTCTGAAATACGACTTCGTCTTTTCTAGCTGTCATGGTAACTCAAAGCGGAAACAAGGAAGCCACATTGGCTCATGCAGATGTGACATCAGCACCGTTCGTGCAAAGAGCCCATTAACTGTGCTGAGCTGTCCAAACAGCTGCCTGCACAGATTTGTCAGAGTTCAGCAGGATGACCTTTGACTTTTGTTCATTTAACCTTTAGTTGTCTGGAACCAATTTAAAACGATCTTTATGGATCTGTAAATTCAGCTTTTCTAAAATGAAACGCAAATCTGGAATGAAGTGTTGCAGCCAATTTTATGATAAAACAGCCTGCCATAGTAAGCGATGTGACGTCACCATGGTGGCCACACCCACTTCCCAGATCTAAGCCACATGAAAACGGAACTAGAACCCAGTTTGATTCCTCAAACATTTCAGAACCAGAACCCGGCTGGCCCGGTTCTGGTCTGTTCCGAACAGAACCACTCACTTTGTGTTCCACGTTGTTCTGCTGGGCCTTGTCCAGGTGGACCTTGATGAGCCGGCTGGTGTCCAGCTTGACCCGGATCCGCTTCCCGACGATCTCACTGGGGAACACCAGGTCCTCCAAGATGGCGTCATGGACGGAGGTCAAAGTTCGACTGGGAGGAAGTTTATTTTTCAGTCATATTAATTTATAAATGTCACAAATTCAGACTAAATACTGAGTCTAATTAGCTTGTTTGCTAAGTATTTAAGCTCGACTGTTAGCTTGCTAACAGTACAATAATTATTGAGTCAATAAAAAATGATGACATCATTCTGACATCACAAACAACATGTTTGTGAGCGTTCTGTGTCCTGCATGGTTTGTCTCCCCAGTAACGGCCCAAAGGACTCTGGGAAGGCGTAGGAATATGCAGGACGCTCGCCACGCCGGCAGCCGGGGGCGGAGCTTACTGTCCGACATCGTGGAACGGGATTGGACGTCACGGCGCAGCGCTGCGCTCCCATTGGCCACCAGGACAGAGCTGGAGGCCACGCCCCCAGGTGTCCATGTCGGGTCATTGGACTGGAGCTGCACCAGTTCACACTGGGAATATTGATGCATAAACAGGAAATGTGAACCGTCCAGATCAGGAAGAGGAAGAAGCACGACTTTGATACAGACATGAACGTTGTTGCTCCACCTTTATGACGATAACAGCTCAGTGCGATTAGAGGCGGGCTGTTTTAAATTATGCTAAATAATAAACACCACAGCAGAGCCTATGTGATCCATGGGAGATCGGAGATTCCCAGGTCCAGCAGATGTCATGGCATCCGACTGGGTGACTCCTCAGCTCTTCAGTTCACCAAACCACAGAAAAAAAGCTCAAGAACCGGCGACCCGGCAGAACCGCACACGGTAAGTAGCTCAGATCCAAACGGCTCTTAGAGCCACAGGAGGATCAACCTCCATGATTCGCTTTCAGCTACAGAAAGACACCAAGCCGCCACATAAAAGCAAACTGACCAATAAGATTCGGGTTGGCGACCCTCACAGACTCACTTCGCGTTCTAACAACTTTAACAGTAAAGCCAGATAATAAACTATCCAAAAGCCATTTTATTCTTTTACTTAGAGGAAAATCAGCTGCAGGCTCATAATTCTGAACTTTAACCCTAGAAAAGATTACCATGTTTCATATATTTCAGTTTCTTATAAATGTTTATTAAGATTTATAATCAACTTATTTGATTATAGAGTAACAGATTATTACTAAACAGTATTTATCAGTAGTTTCCATTTTAGTTCCAATCCTGTTTGCTCTTTTATTTCCATATTATTTTGTCTGATATTTCCCCTTTTCACCTGTATTAATTCTGATGTTTTTTTCGACCATATTTGCCACATTACTTTATTAAGCTATTTATTTATTGCCAGTTTTGGCAGGATCTGTCCTCCATAGGTTCTGCCTTCAGTCCAGCTAAATAAAACTCACCAAGGGATTAAAATATTACATCATTTTGAAGAAAGATGACATTTTTTAAACATTCTGCCATTTTAAAGCTTAGAGAAACTTTCTTTCTCGATTTGGTCTTAAACTATAGAAAAACAAACTTCAGCATTTTCTTTAATGGGATGTTAGCATTGTTTGTAAATTAAATAAAATTTCTGCAGTCATGACTGAACTAATCAGATCGCATCTGGTGATCAGTTGACTAATCATCAGTCGACCAAACATTACTGAATGATTCAGCAGATCCAGACTTTTATTGTGAAGGATCAGTTCCTACTACAAATGAACTGATTAACAAATTTTTAAAAATAATCAGCAACTAATTTAATAATCACTTCATCAGTAACTGGAGTATTCAGACTTGAAGATAATTTGCTGAAAGAACAGCAATGAAGCCAAACCATTTTCCATCCGACATGAATCTGAAGATCTGTTCTGTTTCTGCTCCAGTTTAGCTTCTGTAAAGAAATCTATTAATCACCTTTTGCAACCAGGTCAATAATCGGCCGCAGATCTCCATCAGCTGATTTCTGTGAGAAAGAGTATGATCGGTGATCGATCGCTGTCTCTTGTTGCCGATCCCAAACTGATCACCTGCATCTCCCTTCTCAGCCTGCAGCTGCTCTCCTGTAGTGAGGAACTTTAACTGATTGGGGACGTTTGTGTGTTGCGGTGCAGAATTACCTCAGGGTGAAGCACGACACAACGCACCAACACCACGAATCTAATATGATATTAAAAACAAGAACTTGATTGATTTGGCTGCATCAGTGCAGGAACAAAAGACATCCGGACCCATCAGCAGGTAGAGCAGCGCGGCTACCAACACTCACCGGATTAGCATCACGGTCAGAAAGCTAAAATAACCCCAACAATAATTCAAGTCTTGGAGCTGCGGAGTGAGACGCCGGTTCTGGTTCTGGTTCTGCTGTCGGACCGTCGCTACTGGTGGTAATATTTCCCAGACGGGCTCAGCCTCCAGACGGTGAGCTCTCACAGCAGGAGCTGAAAACAGATTCTAGACGTGTATTGAAATATGTCTAAACGGTCTAAATTTGGTGAATTTATTGCCAGATCATTTGTCCATTTTGCCAGATAACAGAATCATTTATGCCTAAAGCGAAACATTAACAGCCAATCCAGGTGATCGGCAGAGATCTGTGATCGGAATCGGCAGCAAAGAACCCGATCGGAGCGTCACCCATATTGATCTTCAGATTTATCGCTGCTATTAACTTTTAGTTAAGAAAATGTTTTATCTAAGGAACCATTTCAAATGTTTATTTGTATTTTTATGAATTCCAAATATTATGTAAAAAATCATAATTGCTTAAATGAAAATATTTTTTTACCCTGTCAGAATAATCGATCAGTTCATGTTAGCTGCAACGCTAGCTCCACATCCTGAGCAGAACCGGGTCTGGAACCCAACCCGAGAGGTTCCCACCTTCTGACCTTTGACCCCTCACCTGTGCAATGAAGACGACATGCTTCCCGCTGAACTTCTTCTCCAGCTCCCGGACCAGGCGGACCTGGATCTTCTGGAAGGACTTGAGCTGAGGAACCGGGACGAAGATGATGATGGCTTTGCGGCTGCCGCCCACCTCGATCTCCTGCAACACAGAGGAACGCTCCGTCAGCCGCCAGCAACACGCTGAACTGCTGCAAAGCATCCACAACACGGAGTGGATCCGGATCCACATGGAACCGGAGCCGTCTGTGTCCTGCATGGTTTGTCTCCCCAGTAACGGCCCAAAGGACTCTGGGAAGGCGTAGGAATATGCAGGACGCTCGCCACGCCGGCAGCCGGGGGCGGAGCTTACTGTCCGACATCGTGGAACGGGATTGGACGTCACGGCGCAGAGCTGCGCTCCCATTGGCCACCAGGACAGAGCTGGAGGCCACGCCCCCAGGTGTCCATGTCGGGAAAACGGAAAACGTTCAGCAGAATTCCCACCTTAGCTGCGGTGATGTGCAGTTCCCTCAGCTGGGCCTTCAGGTCGGAGTTCATCTCCAGCTCCAACAGAGCCTGGAGGAGAAAGGTCCGGGTCAGCAGGCGAACAGAACCAGCACCAAGATGGCCGACTGACGGCTCTTACCTGGGAGATTCCAGACTCAAACTCATCAGGCTTCTCGCCGTTCGGCTTCACTATCTTAGCGCTGGTACTGAACATGGCCTTAGTCTCTGCACAAAAACAGAGAGGTTAGAGGTCAGAGGTCAATTCATCACATATTTAAAGAGGAACAGTAAAAGGATTAGCAGGGCTAGCTGGATGTGTTGCTGGGGGATATCAAGCTGTGTTAGACTGTCATACAGCAAGAACTCAGTCAGAGGCATCTTCTGATTCGTTGGAACACTGACTGCTACCAGAAATTATTCGTGCCCGAAGCATCACCACCCACAATACTCTTAAAAGACTTGGATGATTTAAGTTACATTAACAAAGTATTTTTGAATAAAATCTGACTCAGGAACATCTAAACTGGTTCCAGAATAACCGGTAAGCTGGTCTCAGTTGCTGCCGACCTGAACTACCAGTAAACAAGTTTGAAATGGTTCCAGTTCTCCTCCTGCAGCGACCTAACCGCTACACTGGTCCCAGCTCGGAGGTTCTAAGGTGAAACTGTCGGACCAGTTTAGTAGTTAATTCCCAGTTTATTCTCCAGCAGTAGCTGACTGAACACACGCTCGGCCTAGCTTCTCCCGCTAACACAGTCCCTCCGCTACTACGCTGTAAATACACCTCTAACGAAACCATCCGCTACTGCAAATATCTTAATCTGAGGTATCAGAGTCCAAATGGGAAGTTCTGGTTGTTGAAGCAACAACAAAACAGCTTTAAAGGACATTTAAGATCAGAAATCTGTTGTGCTGTGAAAATAACACGACTAACCTGTGTCAGCGACGGCCAAGGAAGAGACCGGAACATCGCGAGACTTGAATTAATCCAATCGCGTCGCTGATCATTAGCATCGCGAGAATTAGATATGTACGCCGTTAAGTTAAGATATCGCGAGAGTAAAATTAGTAGAACGTCTATCTGGAAGGTGGCGGTAATGCACCTATAAGTTGTTTGCCAACCCCCATAAAAAGGAAAGGAGAACAAGAAGAAGAAAATTAGAAGCATTGCTGCTGTTAATTATCGGGTTTACGGCCAACTTCACCACATTTAGGCCTAACATGACACTCTGCTGGTTCCGCTGATGTTCCGGATTTGGACTCCGGTTCGGACAGTTCTCAAGAGGTTCTGCAGCTCTTCAGACATGCCGAACCCGAAAGGAAAGTTCTTCTACGCTGTCAGGAAGGGAATCAAACCCGGAGTCTACAAGTCATGGTGACGATCGGTACCGGCTGTCTGGAAGCTTTTAACTAATTACGGATAGGAACTAGGTTTATTGTGACGTCATAATAATCCAGAACCGGGTGGTGGTTCTGAGTGTTTTCTCAGGCTGCTGCTTTCGGAACCGCAGTTTAGTATTCACACCTCACCAGCCGCGTCTAATTATTATGTCAGTTAAAATTAATCTATTTCAATAATTTAGATCAAAAGTAAAGCTTATATTGTATGCGTTTATTACAGACTGATGCATTTAACCCATTAGTTTAGTTGATTCTCGCTTACAGTCAACGGAAACGCAGCATTTACTTAAAATAGTCAGAGAAAAATCTAATTTAATTTAGAAATATTGTTTTATGGTCTAAACAGCCGTGGAGGAACTGAGTATTGTAGGAAATGGTCAATATTGTTCACGGAGTAGTATATAAGTAGAAAGTTTAGTAGAAGGAAAAACTAGCAGTCAGTTGTTGCTAAAGTGATTCTCTAGCAGGGTTTAAAAGCTGTTACACAGTCATTTACTGGGAGTGAATGAGAGAGGGCGTGTTTCACTGATCTCTGGGCTCTGATTGGACAGAAAAGAGGAAATCCTCCAACAGTGGATGGTGACAGACACTGTTAGGAAGGAGAAATGGGTTAAATCCAAAAGGTTCTAAAGATTTCACTGGGTCAGAACAAGAACATTCTGGAAAGAGTTCTGGAGAAATGTTGGGCCTAAAATTCCGATGACTTTCCTGGTTCTGGTTGTTCTTCCAGGGAAGAGTGTAAGATCCAGGTGGACAAGTTTCCAGCTGCATTGTTTAAGAAGTTTGGATCAGAACGAGACGCCTGGGCGTTCTTCAGAGGAGAAGACCCGTCTGCGGTTCCAGACCACAGCACAGGTGAGTCGGTCCAGACAGGTGAGGAACTAAAGGTTCTGCCTCTAGAACCTCTAGGAACCAGCAGTAATCCTGCAGGTTTGTTCTGAATGGTTCTGGTAGGAACATCTGGACCGATCAGAGAGATGACGGACCTGCAATGAAAGAAACATGATCTCTGTGTTTTCATCAGAGGTAGCAGCATCAGAGCCAGCGACTCTAAAAGACTGAATGGGGTCATCAGGAAAGCTGCCTCTGTAATGGGTCTGCAATTGGAGACCCTGGAAAATGTGGTGGAGAGGAGAACATTGAAGAAGCTGTTGTCTATCATGGCCAACAAGCTGCACCCTCTCCACCACACAGTTGACAGACAGCGCAGCTCTTTCTCACACAGACTGCTTCAGGTCTGCTTCAGGACAGATACAGGAAATCTTTCCTGCCACAGGCTATCACTTTATATAACAAACGTTAAGTTACCTTTGTACATATCTGCCCATTAATCGATATTGTACAGATTGTTTACAAAGCACTATTGTACAGACTGTACAGATTATTAGTTTTCACTGTTCATACTGTACAGAATCTTACATCTTACATTTTATATTTTATGCATTTATCTTATTTTTTATTTTTATATTTTAATTGATCTGTGTGTATGTGTATGCTGCAACTGCACAGTAATTTCCCGGTTGGGATGAATAAAGTACATCTATCTATCTATCAGAACCTCTGCTGCAGCGTTTTTGAATTGGCTGAGACCTTTTAGCAGAACTGGACCTGATTCCTCTGGAATGGTTCTGTTCCCATCAGGGACCCGGCCTGGAGAGACAGACGTCTCTCTGCTCCCCAGACGGGGCCCAGAGCCGGTGGAGTGCATCCCGCTAGGAAAGAAGAGGCCCCACCCAGAGGAGGGGGCGGAGCTTCAGCCTAAACGAGCAAAGCCATCAGAGACCTCGTTAGCAGGAAGCAGTGATGGGTTCACCTACATGGGTACGATGACGATGATAGTTTCATCCTGAGCTGTGGCCTCCAGTGGTTGGCACCACTAGCTAGCTAGTGGTGCTAAAAAGCTAGCTGCGCTGACCCTGAAGCACTAATCATTAATTTAATTCTGCTAATGCTAAAGCGCTATACTAACACGGTATAAAGTGGAAACTAAAGATGAAGCGTCATGTCAACGTGGTGTTTAGTGGAAGATAATGCTAAAATGCTAACTTCAGCCATATTGGCACTCACTAGGTGTGGTACAGGACCATATTGCCCTCCACAGGATCAAATTATTAACAGTTTAAAACCAAAACTTCAACACGGATGTTGAACTTTTTTCAACTGAAAGTTATCAAAACATGCAACTAAATTATCGCTATACAATTCATGAGAAAAAAAATAATTTTAGGGGAAGCTAAGTATGCTAAACATTTTCAAAATTAGCAAAAGTGCTCAATGCTAAAAATTAGCTCTGCTAATTAGAGTAGTGGCCACTCCCAGACTGACCTCCAACCTGCTGCTGACCCTCCAGGTGATGCCGTGGTGGTGTACACCGACGGCTGCTGCTCAGCCAATGGGCGTGATCGGGCCCGGGCCGGGATCGGGGTGTACTGGGGCCGGAACCACCCACTGTGAGTCCACACACACCAACACACCCTCAACTAGCTGCTGCTAGCACTAACGCTGTGAGGAAGTAACCAGCTGCTGCCTGTTGGCCAGAAATGTTGCAGAACGGCTGCAGGGGCGACAGACCAATCAGAGAGCAGAGATTCAGGTAAGACCCGCCCATCACATCCCGCCTCAGAAACACGGTCCAATCAACATGAGAACAGAGTGTGGCTTTAAAAACAACTGGAACCCGATTTGTTAGGATGAACTGGTTCTGATCCAGTGCCCTCTAATGGCTCAACTGATGTAGTGCAGCAAAATCCTTTTATTTCTTCCTGTTTTGGGTTCCTGCCGTTAGTTTTATTACCGTATTTTCCAGTCTATAAGGCACCTAAAAGCCTTAAATTTTCTCAAAAATCAGCAGTGCGCCTTATAATCCAGTGCGCCTTATGTGTGCACTGAATTCCAAAATCTGTCCCTGACACAGAGAAGTAAAGTGTACAGTTCGGACGGCAGCAGCGATAAACCAATCAGTGATTGTTGTCCGAGTTCTGCAGCATAGCCTCGGTAAAAACCAGATCGGTTTTTCCACGCATCACCGTCCCTGTTCATCTGCGACTCCATGCGCGCCCATCTCACTGCTACTGTGAAAAAGGAAGTGAAGCAAACTAATTCGGAGTTTGCCGTCATTCCGGGAGGATTAACAGAAGAACTCCCACCGCTGGACATTGGTGTAAACAGGCCGTTCAAACAGAAGTTGGGAGCGGCGTGGGAGCGATGGACAACAGACTGAACACAGTTTACTGAGACGGGAGGCGGCGCCGGGCGAGTTACGCCTCCATGTGTGGATGGATGGCGGATGCCTGGGCTGATGCATCGGCCTTAACTGTCTGAGCTTCACTAAAGCTGCATCGCTGCTGAACAGCCACCTGGAAACGAGTCCGACTCCGATGATGAGAGGGAGCCTGGCATGTTTGATGGAGAAACATGCTGTTCAGTTCAGATACAGAAGAGGAGGACTGTGATGGAAGAAGAACATAAAATAAGGTGACTGTATTACATAGTCGAATAAAGTTCAACTAAACTTACTGTTTTGTTTCAGTTACCTTTTTTTTGTTGTTGTTGACCGTATGTCTTACCATGCGCCTTATAATCCGGTGTGTCTTATAGTCTGGAAAATACAGTATTCAGTTAAAATAATTAAGTCTGAGTCTAAAAGCTTACATTTTAATCAAAACGAAAATTTAATAAATTAATCTCAGAAAAAAATGGGACTCGTTCACTGGTTAATGACTGGTGACTCGTTAACTGGTTAGGTAAGGTAATTTTATTTATGTAGCACATTTTCATCAACAAGGCAATTCAAAGTGCTTCACATGAATTAAAAGGAAATGCAAACAAAATAAACCAAAGGAAAAAGAAGAAAGGACACATTAGGGCAAATTGCAACATTCAGACAAAACAAAGGGGCAAAACAAAGTCATGAGTGAAGGCGGTGACGTCACAGGGCCATGAAACCACGTTGCTCAGCCTCCTGGCAGAGTCCGATAAGATGTTATCTAGGAATGTCCTTAGGAGCGCTCAGCTGCATGGATACAGGAGGGGGTGAGGAGGGAAGAGCATTATGGTTACATATCTTCAAGGAGATTAGAAATATGCAGCCCATCCAGGGCCACACAGGGAAAGCCAATTCAGAAACAGAATGTCTTAGGTCAGGAAGATTATAGATTTCAATCTTCTCTAAAGTCTCTCCGATACATCGGTTAATGACTGGTTAGTGACTCGTTAGGGACTTGTTAACTCAGACATGTCCAAAGTCCGGCCCAGGGGCCAAATGCGGCCCGTGGTGAAATTTCATCCGGCCCGCAGCCTCTGCCATAAAATCAATAGCGTCTGGCCCGCATCGGGCAGCAGTACTGTTACCTGCATATGGCGTAGCTGACACACTAAACGCTGTTCCTCGTTTACCCACTAGAGGGCAGTAGCCCGTGTGACTCAGACCATTTGCACCTGGAGCTC